CGCCGCCGCGTGTGGCCACCATTGCGGCGGCGTCTGCAGACCTACCCCGCCCCGCCTCATTATGAGGCGCAGCGGAGGTCGAGTCGCGCGGCGTAACTGCCGCCGTCGCCGCCGCCGCCCCCTCGGGCTCCTTTCCCAGCGCTGCCGGCGGGCCATGGGCCGAGCGCCCGGCGGCGTGGTCCCCTCGGGCTGCCGCACGTGGCAATGGCAAACCCGCATGCTCCGTGTCGGCTGCATCAGGCCCTTCACGACACGATAACCGTCCGCCTGCCTGGCCGCCGAGCAAGTGCTGCAACTGCCGCTGCAGCTGGTGCTGGTCCACGAGCGGTTTGTGCGGGTCTGGGGAGCTTAGGGCCGGGTGGGAGGGCGACGGCAGCGGCAGCGGCAGCGGCGCACCCCCGACGGCGGCCCGGCGTGCCGAAAGTACGGCCGCCCGCCGCCGCCGAAAGGCCCATTCGTCCTCACTTCCGTCACCGGCTGTAGCACCTTGTTCCGCCGCCCTGCCGCCGCCACCACCTCCGCCAACAGCAGTAGCGGCAGCGGTGTCCTCCTGCGTGCTAACCTCCCCGAGCACCGCTACAGCTGCCCTAGGCCCCCCCTCCGCCGCCAGCTCAACACCATCGGTTCTCTTGCAAGAGGACTTAGTAACACCGCCACGCGCCGGCTCCTTCCCGCCTCTTCCCCCGCCCTCTCTTCCCTCTCCTCGTACACGTAGAGCCCTGCCGCCGCCGCACCCCGCACCGCCTTCCAAACATTTAGCACTGCTGTACACCACATCCAGCTTCTCCCCGCCGTGCCTGGTGCACTGCATGTACTGCATGTACACGTCTCCTTCGTCGTCACCGCTAGAACCGCCTCCGCCTCCGCCGCCAGCGGCGGCCCCTCCGCCTCCGCCTCCGCCGGCCTCGTCTTCCTCGCTGCTGCTGCCGCTGCTGTTGCTGCCGCTGCGTACCACTTGACCTGACAGATGCAGGAGCTGTTCGGCGGCGTTGAGGACAGAATCCGGTAGGGAGTGCTTTCGTGCGTGGCGGGGGTGGCGGGGGTGCTGGGGGTGCTGGGGGTGGCCCAGGGGCGGCTGAAGATATGGGTGGTGGGAGGGGCGAGAAGCGCCATGAACGCCGTACGGATCCTGCAGCGGCGGCCAGCAGGGATGCGCCCATGCACCTGCACGGGGCCGCTGCAGCCGAGAGCTCCGCCGCCGTCGCGCCATCGGCGGTACGAACAGCCGCAGTAGCGGGCTCGGTGAGGCGCCCCGGCGTCCGCCAAGTCCCCCTTCCTCCTGCCCTTCCCCTGCCATCTCCGCTGCCGTCGCCGCTGGCTGCTGTCGCTGCCGCGATAGCATACGACACGTGTCAGCGGCAAATGGCGGGGGGGAAATAGACATTGTGGCCGCCGCCGCCGCCGCCGCCTCCAGCGGCCACCTCACCGCCAGCAGGCCTATGCGGTGATCGGCCGGCGCGTCTGTAGAACCTGAACCGCCCGGGAGCCCGGCGACGGCGACGGCGGCAGGATTGGCCGAGCGACTTGCCGCCGCCGCCGCGGATGATGAACCCGCTAGCCCGTTCTGTACGGCAGAGGAGCGGCGGCCGCCGTCGTCTTCAAGACTCTGATTCGTCTGAGATCCCGACACCGCCAACAAGGATCTGGGGGACCCGGAGAGGGCGGCGGCGGCGGCGGCCCGGAAGCACTGAAGCGACGGCGGCACCTCGAGCTGTTGGTCGGTTTCGTGAGGCAGCGCCGCCGCCTGACGCCGCAGCTTCGACATCTCCGGAAACTCCAGGGGGGAAGATGCGGACCCACCGCCGCCGCCGCCGACGCCGCTGCCGCCACCACTGCCAACACCGCCGCCAACACCGCCGCCACCAGCCGCCGCTTCGTCGCGGTCAGGGTCGCGTCCTTCACTTCTTCCATCCTCCTGTTCCTCTTCCTGCCCCTCCACCTCCACCTCCCCTCCCCTCCCCTGCCGCCCCGCCGCTACCTCCCACAGACCTGCATCGCCTACATCCCCCCCGCCGCCACCTCGACCCGCAGTGGGCCCCCTGGAGACCCCCCACACCTCCCGCAACAGCGGCGGCGGCGGCGGCAACACCCGGCCCCCATTCTCGCGTGGCTGTTCATGTACGGCATCGCCATCGTCGGCCGCCTCTTCAGCCGCATCGCTGCCTCCTCCCCCTCCTCCGTGCGCTGGCGGCACTGGCGGCGGCGGCACTGGCGGCGGCGCCAGGTGCATGAGCAGCTGCTGCCTCCCCAGCGCACTCCATCCCACAATGAGGTGCCCCGAGCGGTTGTGCTTCATGGGGGCGGTGAGCCGCAGCAGGTACTCGGACTTGCTGTGGGCTCCGTTACTGGAGAGCGTCACCTTGGTGGGGTGGGGGTACGGGTCTAGATGGCCGCCAGAGCTGATCACCACCTGGGCCGGGAGGGTGGGGGGAGAGACGAACCACCAAGTGAAGCTGCTGCCAAGGAAAGAGTGTTCAGTGTAAGCAGAAGGCGGGGAGGGAAGAGGGAGAGAGAGATAGAGAAGGGCTTATCGGGAGCTGCTAGCCGGGCTCCAGGAGGGGGGGAATCAAGGTCCTCAGTACCTCCCTCCCTCCCCCCCCGGCTCCGACAGACCTCTCTCCCCCTACCTGGACTCCCCCCGCACCAGCCCCTTTCCCCCTGCCCCTTTCTACCCCAACCCCCCCTTTGACCCACCTGTACGGCAAGTGGCGGCGCCGCCACCGCCAAGGTGCTTTCCACGAAGGGTTTCTGCAGGTAAACACGACCCTTGTCGGGTCGTACGACACTAGGGTTCTGACTCACGACGCTGCGGATCCGGGAAACGGGGACCTCCAAACGAGCAGACGCAGCGGCCACGCCGGCCTCCATGATGCGCCGTACTTCCGCCGTACTGGGCGCCACGTGGCGGAAGCCGCTGCTGGCGGTAGCGGCGGCGGTGGAAGTGGCAGTGCGGTACGACGACGGCGCCGGCGGCGCTCCCTGGCCTGCCGTAGTCGCCCTGCGAATGGGCTGGTACGGCAGCAGCCCTGCGTCATGAGCGTTGTGGTGGTGGTGATGGCACGGCAGAGCGCCGCTGTCAACTCTTTGTACGACAGCCGTGCTGGCGGCGGGCCGACGGCGCCTCGCCGACGGGCTAGCGACGGCGTCGGAGTCGCCGTCCTCCTCCACGTCCTCCTCCTCCTCCTCCCCGCCGGCCGCGGTTGCAGCACTACAAGCCCCGTACACATGCCCCGCTTGCAGCCGCCTGGCGACGTCGCTGCCGCCTCCAGATCCCCCGGCCACGTCATCCCTCTGCCGTACATCGCCGACCATCATCTCCGGGACGCCGCCCCGCGTCCGCACAGAATGAAGCTGAGCAGCGGTGTCCTCCCCCCGGCAAACTACGACACCGCCAGGTGCAACCCTGCCGGCCGCCTCCGCCGCCGCCGCCGCACCACCATCACCACCGCCGCCGGGTGGCACCTCGACAGTGCCTGACGGCGGCGCCGCTGCCCCGACAACGTGTGGCGGCGTCTCCGCCTCTGCCTCTCCCTCCCCCCTCGCCGCTTCTCCTCGCTTGTGCCGCTGCTGCATGTGGACGCCCCCGCGAAGGCACATCATGGTCCGACCTGCAGCCCGCTCCTCCTCCTCCTCCTCCTCCTCCCCACCCTCACCCTCATCCCCCGGGGAGGGAGCCCGAGCAGCAGCCCCCAGACCCCCTCCCGCGGCCGCGGGGCGGGTGAAGAGGGCCCCCGCGGTGCCGACAGCCCCCGCCCGGGGCCGACCCCGCGGCGGGAGCGGGGGCGGGGGCGGCGGA